ACTCAGTACAGTACAGTTGAAGAACAGGTAAAGTGGCAGTGAAAGAATGAGAAGTAAGGGATGTCATGGCCATGAAATGGAAACTTGGAGTTGTATATTTCAGAAGTAAAATAGTTGGGGTGTTTTTGACTTTCAGGGTCCTGGGACTCAGTTACTAAAATGGTACAAAGGCAACATTGGGTAGTTGTAAGGAGGTAAGTTGGGTGGTTCATCAGCAGAAACACTGAAGTTACCCAAAAAGTGCCATAACTTGGGGGGATATGCAGTAAGATTTGCAGAGTTCTGGCTCAAGCATATTGGGAATGGATTAGGAAAGAATAGAGAACAAGATAGTAGAGATGGTGGATAGATCTTTTATGACACCAAACCACTTGTAATAAAAAAATTATTATCATCATCAATTCTAATAGACATCCATATTCAGATGTGAGTAAAAAAGTACTGTATAAGTAACCTGATGTTTCTCTCTTGCCAGTTTTAATATTTCGTCTTTGTCTGTGGTTTTGGCCAATCTGGCTATGATGTGCCTTGCAGAAGATCTTCATGAGTTGATTCTATTAAGGATCTTCGGACTTCTTGGGTCTGGATGTTTGAATGGCTCTGTAGGTTTGGAAAGTTTTCTTCCAGGATTTCATGGAATTATCAATGCCCTTATCAGTTTCTTCACCTTCTGGGATACTAATTATCTGGATGTTTGGTTGTTTAATAGTATCTAGTATTGCTTGTATATTACGCTCATTATTTTGGACTATTTTCTCAGTCTTTTTGGTGATCTTTTTTCTAGGTCAGAGGTTTTGTCTTTGACTTCTAAAATTTGATCTTTGTAAGGTCTAATCTGCTTTTAACACTTTCTTTTTTTTGGGGGGGGGAGGTTTTTGCTATAGGGCGCGTGCGCTTTCCAGACAGACAGGGAGAGACATAGAGACAGAAAGCGAGAAATCCCCCCCAGGGGGGATGGCCACACCACAATCCCTTCTCCTCCATTCTCCTCTCGGGATCTTGGGCAAGCACGCACATGCGCCCGGTGTGAGTTTAAGCCACCAGGTCCAGGATGCGAACCACAGTCGACTATGTGGGAGTCCAGCGACATAGCCATTACGCTAACTGCTGGTCCCTGCTTTTAACACTTTCAAGGGTAGTTTTGATTTCCTGTATTACAGCCTTCATCTCTAATAGCTCCATTTGAATCTTTTTTTATGGTACGTATTTCCTCTTTCAAATAATGGAAAAACTTCCTCATCTGGAATTCATTGTCTCTTTTCTCTTACACCTTCTGGAGTTCATTGTCTCTCATCTCTTGAATCAAATTTAGTTTTGTCACTATGAATATTCTGAATTCTTTATCGGACATTTCCAAGAGTTCCATTACATTGTTTGTGGATTATGAAAGATTGTTCTTTTCCCTTGGAGGAGGGATATTGTCTTGATTTCTCACATTTCTTGTGCCTCTGTGGTGGTTTCTGGTCAAACAAGGATATTCCATCAGGCTAACATCAAACCTTTCTCTCATCAGAAACAATGCAGGCAAGGAAAGAATGTGAAAATATATTCAAAGTGTTAAATGAAAAACAATTTTAATCAAGAATACTATACCTGACAAGATTATCCTTCATATGGGAAGAAAAGATAAAAACATTCTCAGATAAACAAAACCTGAAAGAATTTACCAACACCAGATCAGCTCTTCAAGAAGTTCTGAAGACAGTGCTATACCAGGAAAACTAAAGAAAGGCAAACAGACAGAAAAAAAGAGAACAAAAAGCAACTAAGAAAATGACCAACTTAATTTTCGGGACAAGTCCAGAAATATCAATAATAATATAGAATGTTAACTTCCATGATTTAAATGGAAAGATCAGTCCATGGTAACATTGCAAATTCAACATAAGAGAGATTAATTACATGAGACTGAACTGGTGAAATAGAATTTTTATGACTTTTGACTAAAACATTACTGATTTTTTTCTATGTTTTCTTTTTCAGATTTGAGGATTTTTGCTTTCTTTTGAGCTGCTAACAGTTTTGACAATTTGTTAAAATGCTTTTTGTTTGTCTGTTTAAATTGAAATGTAATCTTTTCTCCCTACCTGACCCCTCAGGAACTGAAAAATATTTGTGAATATTCTTATTTTGTGGTAGAATCGTTATTTGCATGAGTTCAGCAATACCTGTTGCCTTGCACCATAAATTGGAAATACTCATTATTGCCAGGGCTTTGACTGGAATATCATATCTGAAGATAGGAACAGAAAGCTATGGAACTAAAGTAGATCTCAAGAAAGCCAACAGAAACTCTTGGAAAGATTGCCTGGCACCGTTCTGCCTTGCAGAGAGGATTAGAGAAGCCATATGAAGAAATTCATACCATAAAATAGCCTGGACTTTTCCAGCCCAGTAATGTAATCAGTACAGATTGCAAAAGAGAGCCACAACCAGAGGATTACCTTGAAGAAGGCTTTGAAGGAAGAAAAAGAGACTGATTTTTGCTAGTAGATGATGAACCTCAGAATACTTGGTAGGCAGAACTGAGTTGGGGAGGTTCATAAGTGAATTATGTGCTGGGTGTTTGCTTTTCAAAAGTTTGAGTAGTTGACACATAAATATTTTCTCAAAAATATTTAAAACCTTACTGTCTCTCTTATTATAGAGTCACAAACAAAATTATAACAAATATTTTGAAAGTTGTCTTTAAAATTCAGTTTTTGAAATTTTGAAAGTTGTTTAACTTTGAGAACTAAGGAGCATGAGCAAAATTTGTTAATATGTAAAGTAAATTTTGTGGGAAAATGTAAAAAAATAAATAAATAAAATATATAAATAAAGATACACTGGGGGAATATAGATGGCAGCTATTTGCTGTGAATCTCAAAAGTAACCAAAAGGGAGAATTCTGAATGTTTCTAACACCTGTAATGACAAATGATGAGATGATGGGTATGCTAATTATTCTGAATGAGGTACAGAATACACATTGTATTCTGTACTGTAAAATCATATTGTTCCCCATAGCTATGTGCAATTACTGTATGTCAATAAAAATATTAGAAATTAAAAAAGAGTT